ACATATACATCCATTTTTGCTAAGGTACGCCGAAATGTTAAGATAACCTTTGAAAAGTAAAGATATGCAAAAAAAAAATTCATTTTCGATTTTTTGCGTTACTATAACTTACCCTACGGGAAATTAATATATAAATGGTGAATTTATTTTTTATGTTCACAAACTTAACAAAATCACAGTGCTGGAACGAATTAAACAGCATTTCAATGATATTGTATATGGAAAAATTGCTTCGAGATACGAGCGATTCGACATACAAGCGTGGTTTACGGAACGGTTTAAACTCGTACTTACACTATCCTTAAGGCCAATGACGAAAAGAGCGTATATCTCGCGCATAAAAGTTAATATGTCTTTAATAACTATAATTCCAATAAATACACATTATAATAATAATTAAAATCGTGAAGATATGAATGTGTCTCCTACCTGTTCGATGCTGGGCGACCCCTGATTGCTGATCCCCGTCTTTGGCAGTCGTTTCCTCTTGTTCGGCGACGTGCCAGGATTCCTAGTGTTCAGCAGATTCGACAGCAAATCGCCTAATTTATCTTCGTAATCCAAACACCAATATTTCAACGTCGATATTACAAACATGTCCCCCTTCGCTCTCACCTCTCGACAAAATAATAATTTCAAAAGATCCGCCGTCGGCTCTTCTTGCTTAAGACGAAGCAGGATGCTGGTCAGCGCCTCGGCGTGGGATTTGAAATCCAATTTAGGAAGAATTGGTAATAGATTCTCTAAAGGAACATCGTGGGCTGCTATCAGCTGCCACAGAGCATACTGTTCGAATGTTTCCCACATCAGACTTGCCAGGAGAAGCGGTTGCAATGTTTCGTTCTTGAACATACCAATCGCCCTTGCAGAATATGGCAGACCAAGTCCTGCAACTGACCTGCATCCACCGTTTGCACAATCACATGTAAAATCGAAATATTGTTTATAGTCACTGTTTTGAACTCCCTATACACTTCTGGTGTTAACCACAACAACAACTCTCCATTGTCTTCCTGACACAATCTTAATCATTCAATAAACTCGTATCTAATTTTTTTTCTATTGTTAATGAGAAATCTTTATACACTGCCCCTTTTATGAGATTATTCTGTTTACTATTGCTAGACTGTTGATTTGCACTTAAACTTTTACTAAATTCATTTGTCCATTTACTTTTAAAAAATAATAACAATAAATAACCTATCTGAGGAATTGTGGAGTACATTTCAGCTAAAATACTGATAAGAATGCGCCTTTTTTTGTCTTCGTTTTGATATAGCTGATAAAATGTTCGGAAAGCACAACATAAAGGACCACTAATACTTTCATTTAAAGTATCTTCGTTCACTGATTCAGGGAAAATGTTTTTATGAATTGTGTCTTGCAAAGCCGTACATAAACAATCACTAAACTTTCTAATGTATCATCGTCTAACTGTTTGTTTATCAACAGAACTTCTTTATGATTGCTTCAACGGAAGAACATTTTTCTTCTGGGGTTTTTGTTTGTAAGAGCTGTTCTGATAAATTGCGAAGTGATCCTTGGAGGCATCCAAGAGGATCCTCTTCCTCTTCTTCTTCTTCTTCATCTTCACATTCTTTTTCTTCTTCTTTTAATCGAACTTTAGATAAAGGAATATCATCATCATCAGTATCATAACCAGTGTGTATAATCATCGGAACTGGATCATCCTCTTCATCACTGAATACAGCCTCATCTTTTGTGAATATATGATTGTTAGTATTATTAGTTTCTAAATTAACATCCTCAATTTTATTCACTGGAAAAGATTCAGGTGCACAAAACTCTTTAAATGTTTCTCTCACCATTGCTTTTAGTTCTCTGTCCATTTTTACATTATCAAATAATGGATACAAATTAGGTAAAACTCTTTTTTCAACTATTTGCCTTAAAGAATTTAAGACGCCCATCCGTACTTTGTCTGTGTGTGAAGGATAAAAATTTGGAATTATTCGACATAGAAAATCAAGCAAAGCAGCTGTAACAGCTGGATGTGACCTCATTGAATTATGCATTACTAAAATTGCTGGTTCAATGTTCATTATATTGTCGTTTTCGGGACTAAAAAATAACCAATCATAAAATAGAGATAATTTTGAATTTGAACCAGCCACATTTGCAGTACATGTTGTTAAAAGCCACCCGATTACAGCCCATCTGGGTATTATATCTGAACATAGTAATTCATTTGTTGGATGAATAACACTAACAATAAACCTTATAAAATCACTACGCAAAGACTGTGATTCTGGGGTAGCTAAATATTGTCTCTGAAACCAATCTTGGTATCTTTTATGGTTACCAAACCGAACTTGTGATGTCAAAAAAACTAATTTCCTTTCCATATCAGGCGTGAGACGAGATTGTAAATATCTTCTAGATGTGCGAGTTTGTAACAATTGCAGAATACCAGTGAAAGTAGGGCATAAAGATTTTGGATTTTTAAGTATATCTTTCCATAATTGTTCGATCTCTGGTATTCTAGCTACATTTTGCAATAAACGAACAAAATCTCTACCTAATTTTAAAATGTCAGAAAAACGTTCCCTGATTAAATTGACTACAAATTTAACTTCTCTGTCTCTTAAATTGGCTAAAGCTGGGGATGTGTGGTCTTCTATCAGTCTAAGATATGTATAAACAACAGAGCCTATCAGAAGTGGAAATTTATCCAACCAGGCTCTGTGCTCTTGGAAAATATCCAATAAATTCTCAATCAAAAATATATTACGATGTGTTATATCCCCCCCGGAAGCTAATCTCATGACATTCCAACAGACATTATCCACATTATTCACAGCATTTTTAATCATTTCACGCACTAACCACAATACTTGACTTCTGACAACATCTTGAAATCGTAAGTACCTTTCAAGAATGAGATTTGTAAGATGCACTAGAACTATAGCTAGACCATCTCTTGAAACCATTGTTAAGTCTCTGTAACTTTTGGCTGCATTTTGAGGCTCTGTCAGAATGACAGTGAGAAGTCCCAGGCAGACCTCTTCATGAGTCTTATCCTTGCAAACAGCATTTGTCAAAGCATCGTGTGCATCTGTATCGCTCAATCCTGAGATAAGGGACTGAAGTGATTGATAGGCCCTTTCATATTTCTGAAATAGAAAACATACTGTGAGAATTGAACTTAATTGTAATTTAGTCTACAGTAAATTGTGAAGTAACAATGTTTATCTTTTAAAAACCACTATATCATAAAATTTATACACAATCACAATTATTCTTTGAATAGAATCGTAGTTATTCAATCACTTTTGAATGATAAATATTTTGTAATTTGAATAATACAAAAACACATATTGTCAAGAAAAAATGTAAAACCCAAAAGCTTTATTTAAGCCTAAGACAAATGATGTTTTTTTATGCAGGAAACTTTGACATTATGACAAACACTTTTCCACGTATTAAGAGTATAAAACAAAAGAGATTGCACTATAAATTGTCACAATTTTGCACAAATTTGTTGGACAATTCAAATGTCGCGCTTTGCATGACAGCGCACGACACGGCCTTTACACGAACTAGCTAAACATGGCTGACTTGTACACTGTCTTTGTCAAATAATTAAAAAATAAGTAAACTACCTCGTCGAATTCGTCTCTGTTTTCCACAACAGACGTCACAAAAAGTCTTGATGTAATTAATTTTCCCTGCTCCATACTCTAATTAACGCACATGAAAATCCAACTGATTATAAATAACAAATACAGGCCCTGCCCTGCATTGTGCTGCTCTTTAGGAAAATGTTTTCGAGGCTATGGCGCATTAATACATCTGATACAGATCCCATTCCAATCTGTAGTTAGAGGCGCTGCAATAGGCACACACTCCGCGCGAAAATGTGGCGCCGATTTTTAAATGTTTCACCCGAATTATAATGAAATAACGCACTTTCAACACATTTATATCGAATCAAAAAAATATAAATAGCAACTAAAAACGTACTGAACTCCTCGGAAGTCACGATAACACTGAGGACGTCAATATTCAAAATTATGCCTACATAATGTGCTTACACCAACACATCCACACGCGCAATGTACCGACGACGTGTTAATCATAAATATGGTTTTGCGCAAATGAGAACAAATGTGTTAAAAGAACTGTTTACTTTATTATATTTTTTTGTTTAAAAAAAAAATCACAGAATATAATAAATAATTTATCAAGACATTTAATTCAATTTATAATAATAATTTAATTTATATTTATCATGATTTTCCTTTTTTGTAGCGCTGTCTTGCTTGAGCTTTAGTATATCTAGTATTATTTCTTTCTGTTGAATTTGAAACATTTGTAGTTTCTTCTTCTACTGAATTCATTTCTAAAAAAAATATTTGACCATTAAAGAAAAATTTAGAAACCGGTTTTGTCTAAATTTTGTCAATAATTACCAGCAAGTAAATCAGGAGGTGGCTGCAGTAAAGAATTTCTTTGGCTTTTTATATAAACTCTTATACCTCGTGCAATAACATAACCAAGGGCACTTATTGCAAACATCACTAAAATCATTAGAAGTGGATTCTAAAAATTTAGATAATGATAAGATATTTAGTTGGGCTTGAAAAATTAAATTAAGATGGAAAACTTGTATTTTTGTTATACCATTCCTCTATCAAAGAAGTTTTACTTTAATTGTAACCAATATTATGATAGCATTAATAATGTAAAAAAGACTTTCTACTATCAAAAATTATAGAATCTTCTTTAGTCTTTTTAACCAAATTGCTTGCTCTCTTAAATCAGAGATCGAGGAACTTTTTTAATCATTACCCCAAAATATTTTTGTATAAGTTGATATTACCCCATAGGAAAAAGCCAAGAAAAATGAAATTGCCTTATTTATTTTTAAAACATGAAAACCCTTAATAATAATTTTGAAAAGAAAACAATTATGGAAAATTTAATTTCAACAAAATAAAATTTTAATTTAAATTTTATGGAAGCCGACTTAGTGCACCAAGTATTAAATAGTATCAATTGAACTTTTTTCTATATTTTGTTAATAGTACAGTAAGTATCAACTAAATTTTTTCTCCCAAAAATTCCATTTTTACCCCCATTTAGAGTATTTTACCCTATTATTCCCCGACCACTGTATTAAATGATTTTAATAAATAAATAAAAAGATTTTAATAACTTCCATACAAGTTTCCCAGTTCAATAAATATTTACTTTGAGTGATGGTTTATTGGTTAACACACTGTCAGCAATTACAATTAAGATCCCAACGATAACACCAATTAAGGCTCCCAACCATGGTGCCCGAGCATCAACTGTGGAACAAATACAGTTTCTCAAGAGTATTAAATATATAATAAAGAATCCAATAGTAGATTAATAACAAATAACCTTTCATCTCATTCTCATCACTTTTTGCAGCCCGGTTTACTGCATCAAGCAGTGTACTGTCTCCAGGTTGCAATTGCAATGCTTGCGTGTACGAAAGCAAAGCTTCTGCAAATAAATAACAAGCATATTGGACCTCTGCTCTTCTAAAATAGCCCTAAAAATAGAAGAGGAAACATGATCCAGGTTTTTTCAACATACAGCATAATTATATTCTATTACCTTGGCCCAAGTGGGTGCTCTTTTAATGGTTTCCTCAGCATCTTGCAAAGCAAGATAATGTTGTTGTATTTTTAAAAAAGCATAAGATCTATTAGAATACAATGAATAATTATCAGAATCCAATTTTAATGCATGAGTGTAATGAAGGATAGCTTCTTCGAACTTTCCGGCTTTCGTGCACTCATTTCCCTTTAATTTTAATTGTTCACAAGTCTATAAAATAATTGGGTTTAAGTGTTTTTATGAAAACAAAACGTGTAAAATGTTATTTTCAAACCTCGTTTTCTCCGGAGGCCATAATTGTGCAAAAATTACATACGTAAACTTATTTTTTATTTACTAAGTTTTGATCCGCATACGTCAAATGTCAATTTGTTGCCAACTGCTGCGATTGGTTAACCCAAAGAAAACAATGGCGGCAACTTCATGGCGCAAAAATTCAAAATCGTGATTTGAATTAGAATTATTATACGATTTGGAATTCCTGTTTTTGAGTTCAAAATTTTGAAATAAATAAACCCTTTTTATTGCTGCATGCATAATATTTATTTATTTTATATAAGTTTCATTTAGTTCATATTATTTATAACTAAATTTACAAGACTTCCACATTGACTTAATCATTCTCTATAAATAATGGATCTAACATATTACACTACTGTTGTTAATTAATTTAATTATGAGTTTGACAATTCACGTTAATATAAAAAATCTTCTTTTCATTTCAACAGGCACAATTTAATTCCCAAGTGGCATAGTTCTTAAGATGTATTTCAATAACAAACTACTTCATCATTCACTCACTTTTCAATAAATATGAATATATATATATTTTACATTGGTAATAATTATATTAGTATGTATATTTCTCACTGTTACCTTTGAGCTATGATTACATTTTACCCGATATTTAAATTTAGAAGAAGCATTTGTTTTGAATTACACATTTAGCATGTTTAAAGTATTTATTGCTCTGGCTAACTAAAATCATAAAAGGCCACTAAAATATTGTGAAAATTTTACAGGCACTAATTCTACATATTTGTTTTGTTTTTCAATTTCAAAAATGTACTCTATGACATTAATTATTTACAACACCGATAATATAGTATAAAATTTGTTTATTTTTCTATCAAAGCATGATATTTAGACACACTTGAATTATTTGGTACATTTAATGTTACGGTGACATTTCTATCTCAGATTTTTATTTCTATGTGTTTCATAAATAACTTTACAGAAGTTTAGAAGAGATTAAACAATAAATATATAAATGCCACTTGCAATAAAATAAGAAATTTTCACAAACGTAGCAATAACAAATCTTATAATGAAATCCAAATGCCTCCATAATTTATAATATATTCTTATAAATAAATTATACACTGACTGGTATCAGCTTATAAAAATAAACACTTGTTTTCTGTACAAAATAATATTCACAATATTAACAGATTAACTTAAGGCTAATGGTTAAGGTCATGGCAATGAATAATTTGAATTTTCATTATAAGAATTTATTTGCGTTTACTTTATTTACGAAGTATATTTACATAAACAAATATATTTTATTTAGTACCTTTACATATTTGCAATATACACATTCTATTTTATTATTATAAAAACAATTTAATAAAATAGCATGTATTTATAAATTCCAAACATTGTTTTTTAAATTACAAGGAACATATATATGAGGCTGCGTGTAAAATAACTGATATGCTAATTTTTACAATTTAACAAATTTATTATCAACTCAAAAATCTATCTGAAAATTTACATAATAATATTGCATTTTTGATATGCTCCTAAATATACATACAAACTATAAATCTTTTGACAACATTGATATAAGAAAAATTAAATCAATTCTTTTTATGCAAGAAAACAAAAAAATTAACAAAATCATGAAACATATAACACAGCTTTTATCAACCTGGTACACAAAAAAAATCATCAACAGCAAGAAATATAAACAAAATTATTTCCATAATAATAGATCATGCACATCACAATAGAATACTTCAAATTAAAGCACTTCTCTTATGATAACTTTAATCGAAAACTTTCAGTACAGCTTTCGATTAATTAAATAAACCAAACGATTGTGTCTCAGATATGCTTTTGTTTGATACGTGTCGTAAACTTTATATATATCTGAAGCAAATTGATAAGTTGTTTGATAACAAATATTTTATAAATATGTAGGAAATTCTTAAATCCATCATATGGTTATTATACAATCAAAAGATCCATGCCATTTGTGGATAAAGACAGTCTTCATATCATCAAAATTCAAATATGATAACTTAGATTATGTACACTGTGGATAGTAAAAGGTTTTTTGTACATGGTTCATGTATTGATAATATATCGATAGTACAGAATGCAGAACTTGATACAGGACCTTATTTGATAAATATTAAGTTAGAAGACTAGTATTTGAATGAAGCCAAAACCTATGTCAAGTAATTATAGATACTCTCTCTCTGATTTCAGCACAGTGTACATTTACAAATTAAGACTATTCAATAACTAAAAATAGAGTTTTGATTTCTTTTGTTATTTACAAGTATGGATATGCATTTACAATATTGATTCATGTATATATAACAAATAATAAATGCACTACATGTATATAAATATATTCATATATACATCAAAGCATATTTATATACACTTCGCTTTTTTTTAAAACCAAAATAACTATATGTTTATGTACGTATGCGTGTAAATGTAAGTACCTACATGTTTCTTCATCATTCGAGCACACAATTAAGAACTGATTTTCAAACTAAATGAAGATATACACATATGTACATAAATATTTAAACAAATCAGAACAACCTTTGAACCATAAATTTCATAAAACACTATATTATTTTTTTGTTTCAAAAATACTTTTTTACCTACTTATATGCATATATCAGAAAAACTGATTACATCAGTATCTATTATAATTTGGTGCGTGATGTGGTTTTTCGAAATGCCATATTAAATCAGAAACATCTAAATATTTGGTAAGTAAGAATATATATATGCATTTTAAATTACAATATTTATACAAAAGTTTGTTACAAGTAGGACCCAAAAATATTTAAGATTTTTATGTTTATCATCATATTGGTACTGTATTCATATTTAACATAAAACACTAACAGACGATTGTAATAACGCCCTTTTCAAGTATTTAATTTTTTTAATTGTTTTTATATTTTATGCATCTTTTTTATAAACTACATTCTAAGAGATAAGTCAAGGTTCAATCCAAGGTCGTCGTTTGTAAGATCTACTAAGGGATATATCATATCATATCATATTCTCTTGCAGAGTCCAAACATTAACAAGAAACAATAATAATATTGTTGTTATTTCTTTAATTTGTAGTATTTATGTCATGGTTTCACAAAAGACTCCAAAAATTTCGGACAGGCGAGAATACACATCATCGATTTTTTTTAAAGAAGATATCATCATCTCTCATAACATAAGAACAATCCTATTAAACTTAATAGTTCACACATTTAGTCTTTAGTAACGCTTACATGTATTAAAGTAATTTTATTAATTAATAATTAATAATAATAATAGTGATACAATCTTTTTTTTAAATAAAATTTACATTTTATCTAGCACAACCAACGAAATGCTTATAATACACTTTGAGTGTCTATATTTTGTCTGCTAATGGTGAGTGAAATCAATTAAGGGCTTTCCATTAATCAGGTGAGGTAAATTAGACATAAAAATGAAGAGATATCACGTCTGGTATATAAAGATATCACGGGTATTTATTTTTTACCTGTAATTTGAGTACCTAGAAAAAATTCCAAAAGTTTTAGGATTTTTTCTAGGTACTCAAAATACACGTGCCGGATGGATAAGGAAAGTAATTTTGATGCCGGATGGATAAGGAGAGTAATTTTGAATATCATCAAAAGGAAGGATCCAAAAATCCTTTTAATCACATGATCAATGGATAGCCTTTTTCTCGTGTTGAAAATATTTATGGCAATCACCCAAGTTCCTCAAGCATAACATTTCTCTGAACACACTTTGATCCGTTATTAAATAACATTGTCTAACAATTCAACAGGCTGATCAAATTTATTATTTCACGGGATCTGATTAATATCAAAATATCAAAAAAAAAACAACTTCATAAAAAAGAGGTATATAGTGTATGCTTATAAACTATAACTTGAACAAAAATTTACAAATTGTTTTAACAAAAATTTAAATTGGCTTGGGTTTTTGGCACTTTCCTTTGTTAAAAAAGGTTTCAATAACTGGATAGAAGTTTATAAAGAATTTACTGGAAGTGTAAGATCGCGTAAAATGGAAGCACGTTATTTTAAAAATTCAAAATTCAAATGAATCCATTTCCGGCGGACGACAGTTTCGCGCCAAAAAATTTGGACCGGACGGAAAAATATATTATTTTATCATTTTGGCGAATCCAAATTTTATGGCATAGAAATTTATTCGATAACGATCTAAATTATTTAATGGACTTAAAAAACAAACAGCTTTTTGTTTTATTATCAAATAACGTACTGGAGGAGGACAGTATTTAAACCTAGAGGACGAAGTTATTTCTTCGAAAGAAAACATAACAAATCAGTTTTAATCACGAGGATGGATTTTAAACTGGACGACACTTGAGTTCTTTAATGACGGAAAATTATATTTAGAGTAAATCGGATTTATTTCTCAGAGTGTGCGCTTGGAAAAGCAACTATTGAAATAATTTTATCCACACTGTCGAAAAAAATATATTGAATTAATAAGATAATTAACGTATGTTTTATTCTGCTGGACTTACATATTACACACACTCCCAATAATATATTTTTACATAGTTTCAGTTAGCATTTTTTGACCTGCCAGAACATTTTTACAGCAAGCACACGTTGTAATACACATATACTCTACGTATCAAAATTCTCCTATATTTATATATGCATTATATAACTCTAATCAAAAATTCCTATTTTTTGTTTAATAACGAATAACGATGACTAAATATCTTCAGTACGTCGCTTGCATTTTTCTCAACGGAGACACATGAACACAAACAGATGTAAAGATCAGAAGCAAAAGTTATATATTAATTTATTTAATAGCTGCTTTCATTTTCATTTGATTAAAGAATTCATCAATTTGCAGAAATTCTGGTTCTCATCGACATTTCTCTCATGTACTATTTTTGAAAAATTCACTCATAAACAATTATCACACGAATAAACAAATTTTCAATTATAGAGCATTCTTAGCAGCTTGAGTTCAATATTGTTTACAATTATGGTAATTTTTAAAAATTCAATAAATATATTTGAGCATTGACTAATGATATTTGGTCCAGTAGCAATATTGCATTTAATAGTAGTTCAATCAAGCATTTGAATGCATGAATTTCAAATAATAAAGCATTATTGACATTTTGAATTTAATATTTATTTTTTGCAAAAAGTTTTATTGTATCATTTATGATCAATGATAATTTTTTATAATTCGATAAATTTATTTGAGCATTGCGTAAAGACATTTTGGTCCAGTTGTAATATTCTATTACAAAGTAGAATATTAAATAATTGATTTTTATATCATTTACAATATTCATTTGTAGTCATTAAATAAGTAATTTATTTATTCATAAAAGATATCTTTCTAATGCAGATATTTTTAATATTATAATATATTGTATGTTTAAAAACTTGTTTTTTAAGAAATTATTTGAGAAATGTAAATTATATAAAATATTTTATTTTTTATAGTTTTATTTTTCTAATTTTTTTATTATATCATTTTTTAAAATTGTATTTAATATTTTATTTTATATTTTTTGACTTTCGATTTTCACACAAGCAACTTATTTAATCATAAAATATATTATAAAATTATCAGACAGATTTGAAGTAAAAATAATACCTTTATGTAAGAAATCATTTGAAATGTAAATGTTATTATAAACTTAATTTTTTGCCCTTCCTTTTCAAAATGGGTACTTTATCGAATCATGAAAAATTTTCGTAGTGCAGATATTTTTAATATTATTGCAAGTATAAAAATTCATTTTGTAAGAAATTAATTGAGAAATGTAAATAATATAACTCATTTTATTTTTCATACTATATTTTCGTACTTTCAATGAGTTTCCTATCTAATTATGAAAGAATTTTTAATATTACAGCATGTCTAGATTTGCAGAATTGAACTATAAACAACGCTAATATTTTATAAAAATTTGAAAATTAATTAATTATTACCGATTGATTAAAACTCAAATTATTTGAAAAATGTGAACGATAGAATAAATCTCATTTTTTGCCTTTCTTTTCATCTAACTGTATAAGATTTTCATTTTTCCTTAAAGATGCTCAAATATTTTTATGTAAGAAATTATTTGAAATAACTATAAAAGATTTTCATTTTCCATTGAAGATATTTTAATTATTAATGCATGTCTAATAGATTTCGTTATAGCATCGAACTGTAAATGATGCTCATTTATTTTTATGTAAAAAATTATTCGAATATTGTAAATGATATAATAAATTTAATATTTTGCATTTCGTTTCCAGATAGGCAATTAATGAAGTTGTAAATAATGCTTGTAATAATATATTTATAAAGGAATTGTAAATAATGATCATATATTTTTATATAAGAATTAATTCAAAAAAATGTAAATCATATAAATTTTATTTTTGCCTTTTGGTTTCCAAATGAGTTTATGGAATGAATTTAACGAATCATAAAAGGTTTCTTTCTAAAACAATTTTTTTAATTTTACTGCGTATCTATTAGATTCCAATGCAGAATTGAACTGTAAATAATGCTCATATATTTTATGTAAAAATTATTTTGAAAAAATGTAAATCATATAAATTTTATTTTTGCCTTTTGGTTTCCAAATGAGTTTATCGAATGAATTTAACGAATCATAAAAAGTTTCTTTCTAAAACAATTTTTTTAATTTTACTGCGTATCTATTAGATTCCAATGCAGAATTGAACTGTAAATAATGCTCATATATTTTTGTGTAAAAAATTATTTGAAAAATGTAAATGACAGACACTCAGAATAGCTGCCAAATTGAGGAACCATTATATAACCAAATAATTTTCATTTTTATTACCGTATTGCTTTCGTTTAGACCAATATCTGTAATTACTGACCAGTTTAGTTGTCGTTTGTGTTGCTAGTGTTCCGAAGAAGAAGAAGAGTTTTTAGCGAGCGACTCCATCGATATGCCTCCTGGTGGTGCATCAGACGGTTTTGCATTTGATCTCGTTGTCGTAGGCGACGACCAGCCTTTTGATGTGCGACAGTTTGTGATGCAAGTACTGGTAACGGTTCAGTTTGGCCGTATGCCGAGAGTCCTGCAAATGCTGATTGTACTCGGTCACGATTTGCCGTTTGATATCCTGAAATAGGAAAAAAACATTATAATGAACTAAAAACTGTATGCTATTTGGTTTATCGCTTCGATTGCTTTACACTTTTGCTATGGATTGCTTTCCGCAAAGAAAACACTGCTATACGAGCCAGCGAGCCGCGCAGTAGCACTACTAAGCAGACCAGGCATAAAAACATATTAGAAGATTTTCCTATTATTATCAATAAAAATTACACTTCTACAGAACTAAAAATTATCACTTATTAGTGTTGCATGGCATCGTGCCTTAAAACAAATTGCTGGAACTTCCCGTTTCGAAAACTAAATTATTGAAAAAACTTTGCAAAATTTTGAAAAAAATTGACTTTTTTTGAAAAATTTAAACAGTTTATTAAGCAATCGCTCTGCATAGCTGAGTTGGAGTCGAAATATCAAAGCGCGTAAGCGCCGCGTAGTCATCTAACGTAACATTGGTGCGAAACCTATATAAATGTACACAAAATTTGTTTTTATTATTATAATCTTTATAAAATATCTCATAATACGATGTACATATGTCTAATGTTCATTTTTTACCAACAAATGGTATCATTTATTACTTTTTTTATTGGATCTCCGGAGACGCAGGACAAGTAAAATGCTTTTTGAATTATTTAAATCGGACGCTCGGATCGGACCGGATTAAACGGCTAGACCTGCCTTTGCCAAAATCTAATCAGCACGTCTCCTTATCAGCAGGAATCGAATATTTTTTGAATTATTCAAGTGGTTGGTCCATGTTCGCAAAATCGTTGACGAAAATTTGTATCCGCACATACACACACACGCACACACATTACACACACACTTACATCCATTTTTTTACGTTCAGAAACCTCTGAAACGTAAAAATATACAAACATTTTTATTTCCGAAAGTCGACACAATCAATGTTTACAGTCGACACTCGTACTTAAATAAATATAGCCAATATTACCTTGTACTCTTGCGAATCCGGCTGGACACTTCTGAGTCTTTCTTCTAACGCAACGAATCTTTGTGAAACCTGGTCTACAGCATTGTGCAGATCACGATATTCATCATAGTTCTCGTCGAACTCTCGTTTGTACTTCCTACGCTGATCTATTGACTGAATTCGGGTATATTCACTATGAAGATAGAAAAAAAAGATTAGCAATCGTTATGATAAAGGAATTTGATTGATTCTGAAATGCTGAATTTTTACCTAGAGAAATCAAATTGCGTTGGTTCGCAATCGTTGGACTTCTGAGAATGCTCCGTGTTGTCCGAAAGACGTTCTGAAAGAGTTGAAGGACTATTGCTGTTCGTGACACCGCTCGATTGAGTATTTATATTCCCGTTGCCTGCGCTCGGCGATGACTTCGAGTACTGGAAAAAAATAACAACATTAACTACCTGTTTACACATTAAAAGCATGATTTATTCCAAACGTTTTGAGAAGTGATGTGCCAAGTCAAATCAGGCGATTCGAACCATTTGAGAGACACTTCACTCGTTTTAAATACATTTGTCTTCAAAATAATATAAAAGTCGCCAGGCCATAACAAAATTAAATTTTCCATTATCAACTCACCATCTTATTCCGTTTCTTGTCATCGTTTTTGCTGTTGGCTTGCCTGTCCGCGGCCTGATATCCGCCATTAGAATATTGATTCTCCGCACTCCTATCGTACCCCAGACCCACGGTCTTGGGATCTCTAATCACACCAAAACTTAAACTATTATTACTAGTATCACTGTAGTGTTGCATAGGTTTTTTGACGTTATTGTTACTGCTGCTGCGGCCGTTCGCCATCTGAGGTTCGAGGTTTTCGTCATCACCGCCGCCATTTTGCGACGCAACGCCATTCGACGACGAATGAAAGCCATTATTCACATTACTATTGTTACTGTTGCCACTATTACCGGCACTGATGAAACTACTACTTAAAGGATTGCTACGTATATCTTCCCTCGATCGAGGATTCATATTGCTACTCTCACGGGAATCGGTCACGTTTCTCCTGAAAAAAAAATTAATGAAATAGATCAAATATTTTGGCACATCAGTCACATTTCTCCTGAAAGAATATCGAAATAGATTAAATAATTTGGCACAAAAGTTGAATTCATTCCTGCAGTCTTTAATATAATGGACCGATTCTGCCGCACAAAAGACCAATGTTATGCCAAGACCATGTTACGCCCCAGCTTCCATACATTATGCTACTGAATCATACTGAATACTGTCAAAGTGTTATGTATTTACTGTGCATTCAGGCGTTTCACACATAAAATGCAACGTCACTCGTCTGTCATGAAACTGAGTCAGAAAGACCCGGTTATCTAAGATCTTTTTTTTACAATTGTGCGGTTTCTAGGTTAGGTTTTCTATCTGATAACCTGAGAAAAACGCCAGACTGCACAGCAACCACATGGATTTTGTCAATATTTAGAACGAATTAGTATGGAAAGTTCTCTTTAACATAGCCTTGCCATAACATTGACACTGCCATGGCGTCAGAATCGGTCCATAAGTTAGTACATCAATAACCAACGTACTTATATTCACTCAAATTGTGCAGTAATCTTCTATATATATATAAAGATAAGTCGGGTTTTCCTTCCTGACAAAATAACTCTAGAACGCACGAATCGATTTCGACAATTTTGCATTCGTTGGAAAGGTCTCGGGCTCCGCAAGGTTTATAGCTAAGAAAATTAGTGGTGCATGGCATCGTGCCCTAATGCAAATTGCTGGAACTTCACGCACCGTAATTAAAAATTCGAGTAATGACATTAGTGAGAATTATCAGAATTATGCTTGGTTAAGTCAACGAACAATTCTTGCCGCAAAGTATAATGATGTACAAGTACTGAATTTCACCATTCAATAAAAAATTGCTGGCGATTTGGTTTGACTTCAAACTATTGCAATTTCCAGTTCGCCTTGCGTTCGCAATAACAAGTCGCAGGGCCAATCGCGGGATAAATTTCAAATAGATTATGTATTTAGAAAATCATTTTCACATGGGCAGTTATACGTTGCCAGTTCACGAGTTGGAAAACCATCCGCTTTGTTTGTATTAACGTCAGACCAAAAACAAAAAATGTGGTTTACCAAAGATCACTTCCATGAAACGGATAATTTGCCCAAACGGATTCACTTTCATTTACTTAGAGAAGTTCAACTAAAAAACACTTCATTTTTGTAATCGAAATAAATTCATTACTGTTGTATAATAAAATCAAATTTTTTCTTTTCAAATATAAAACAAACAAAAAATCCGTCATCTTTCTCACGAAACCATCTGGTGGCGAAACGGAGTTCGTCGGGTTTGCTAGTCGATATATATATATATACAAACCCCGTATTCTACGGCAGTAAACTGTATTACAAATTATTTCTTTTTCCTCACCTGTATCCGTTCTCCGTCACAGCTCCCGCCAACTTGTTTCCATACCCGTTTCCGTTCTCCGAAGGCGGCGGAGATGGCCTGTTGTACAGCGACCCGGGGTTGATGCCATTGTTGTTGTTCTCGGAGGTGATCGGCGGCTTTCTGAAGTGCGATATACGCTGCTTCTTCGGCGCCACACCTCCGTCCCAGACGCCTCCTCCAGTGTCATAGGCGCCACCTGGATGATGGTCCCGGAGCGAGGATGCCTGTCGCTTTCCGGGACCACCGCCATTGCCGCTTATGGCCTGAGGCGGCGAGCCCGCGTGTGTCGAAGACGGACTCTGACCGCTGCCCGACGAACCGCCGTCGCTGCTCGTCGGAGGGGTCAGGTTCTGAGGTTTCCGCCTGGGGGAAAAGACACATCAATCAATTTACGTTATATGCACACATTGACTAGAAATTGTTAGGTGTAAATGTCGAAGAATTTTGTAGACAAGACATGAAAATAATTTTGGTAGAGCAGAGGTTAGATGTCCGCGAGTTTATAAGTGTATCATCATGATCTCGAGAATAAGTAAGGTGTAGAATTTTTTAACGATACAAAATTTGCGAGAGCAAAGCTTGGATGTCTGCGAGTTTATGGGTGTACCATCATTATCACAAGAATGAGTAAAGTGTAGATTTTTTTAACGATACTATTTTAAAGTAGAGGGCAACGGATCAGTAACTAGCTATCGCCTTTAATCGAACGACATCGCAACCACGAGATAAAATGTCAGATTGTCAAATTTTTAACAAAAGTATTTTTATTAGTAGTTTTTATTAGATCTCTTTTTTTAACTGGATACTATGGTCAAGTAGTGGGACGGCTTTGCTAAATTGCTTTTTGGATAGTAGGTAATAAACAGTAAATTGCCATAGGGATAACTGACTTAAAATTTTGTTCTTAGCAACGAAATATCAAAAAATCTCGGGAAAATTATATAAACACACTTAACCATTTATATACCATTTTTTTCAGGTAAAGTGTAATAAATTCATGTAGTAAAGAGTAGATTTTTTTAACAATACTATTTTGAAGTAGAGGGCAAATGATCAATAACCAGCCGTCTTAAATCAGGCGATATCGTACCCATGAGATCAAAGGTCAGATAGTCAAATTTTTAACAAAAGTATTTTTATTACTAGTTTTTATTAGATCTTTTTTTAACTGGATACTATGATCAAGTCATGGAATGGCTTTGCTAAATTGCTTTTTGGATAGTAGGTAATGAACAATAAATTCATGAAGCTACCTGAAATTTAGCCATGCCTATTCAATAAATTTATCAAGCAAATAACACTTGAGAAGCAGTTCTGTCTCACGATTAATCTCTGATTTGTTCCTGTTGTTAGTTTTTTTTCGATTTGAGCGGTGTTATTTAGTTTACGACACCTGAATAGAATTTTTAAGTATACGCTATTTAATTGTTTTATAAAGTTTGTTGTTACTTTTAAGTAAAATTCAACATTTTTTTTTGTATATAACCTCTAGCATAGCTTAGATAAGGTTGTAATAAAAAGGATGACCCAAACCTTCACACTGGCAAGTTGTTACCAAAAAGAAAATAGTAAATAAAAAGGTAAAATAAGTTGAAAAAGGATATTTTAAAAAAGATAAATTAAATTGATGGTGATACTAACTCCAATGATAAATTGTTATGACTTTGAATTTCTCTGATCTTTGTAGAAAATATGCCAATGAAATATTTATTTTAAATAGAATTTGCACTTATCTTGCTAGAAATAATTGTATTTCAAGAAACAATGAATTATAATAGATCAAACAGAGATAATTACGAAAACAAGATTTATGATACTAGTCAGAGTTGCTATATATTTTTTTATGTTAATAAGATTGTAACTAATATAGTATTATTCCGTAAAACCTCTTCAAAATTAGAAATAAAATGGAGAATCTTTTTGGCCTCTGGCTGTCCCTACCTACCCTGTCTATAGGGTAAAAAGACTAGGTTACCATTTTTTTAACAATAGCAAAAAACGCATTTTTACAATGATAAATCAGCTGAAAATTTTATAGAGCGTAGTTCGATAGTTGTTATTTGATGTGTGCAATTTTTTGTGATATAGTTTATTTGGTTTTAAGCTAAATTAGACCTTTGTGCCTCGGAAAATATTTAGAAAGTGATATAAAAACTTACATTGTAAGGATAATAATCAGTATTATATGTATTTGTAGTGTATTATATTTTTAAACATGAAAACTATATTTATTTATTAATAAAATATAATTAAAAAAATTGTCTCACGATGAAACAATCTATAAAAAAAATTTAAGTTGGGCTATGAATATTATTCGACGCATATGTCTATTACATTTGTAATTCATATTTTATTAAGTTCGCACACTTTATTCGTTCCCAAACTAATTATTTTTACGAAAGTTCTAATTAAACGTTATAAAACTTTCATTGCACGCATCTATAGTTTTATTTCTTGGTTATTACACTGACCGTTTCATCAAAGCTCGTTCGTCCATGGTATAAAATGGCCAATCGTCATGAACATCGTTCCAAATATTCCTACGTAAGTGATAAGTATTATCTCGCATAGTAGATATCTGCTTCAACACAGTGGCTATGCAGTTTTTCTCCCGTTCTTTGATACCTTCTACAAAATTTAAAAAAAATTTAATTAACTTTTGAAAACGATCCGTGGTTTTTGTGTATCATAATACCCAGTAATAACCAAATACTTACCTTGATTAATTCTAGAGTATAATTCAGGCTTTTTATACGGCCTCAAAGCCAGCAGATGTATCAGGCGCTCCCTGAAAAATATGCTGTTACAGTGGTGTATATTATTTGGTAATAGCATAATAATTGAACTAGCAAACGACGAGTAAACAAGAATGTATCATCGATACATACCTAGAAACTGGGACGATGGAGTATTGGAAGGGCAGGTTTTAAGATAAAAATTGACAAATATATTTGTAACACTAACTTGATAGGCCTTCGCATGACGTCCGATTTGGGCGCATTAGACGCATTCGTCCTGCCGACATGTGATACCCTGCCGTTTTTAGCATTCCCCGATCCGTTGATGCCATTATTGGATTCTCCAGAGACACCATTTGATCCCAGCCCTTGTTGCTGGCCGAGTACTCCGAGTGGAGATGGTCTCGACCCAACATTAGCAGATACTGGAGGAGGTGAAGATCCTGGCGGTTGCCGGCTATTGTGATTGCTAGGATGTCTCGAGATACCATTGGTCACGGATGATGGCTGATTGTGAAGGGGATGAACCATCGTCAGAGGTTTCATCGAGTTCATAGGCCGGTGAGGTAATTGTTTTACTTTTACCTTGCGACCAATATCTGTTTGATCGGGCTTAATCTCGCGGGTACTGAAAGAATAATTATATCTTATTAATAAAAATAGTCAACATACTACAGTTTTACTTCTTGTCTATTTAAGGACAGCTGTGAGAATTACTACATTTATTAAAAAATATTACGAAAGTGTTTGGAATTTAGGTGAAGTATAATGAAACAAAGCGCAACTATTAAAAATAACGCAAAAGAAATATTTCATTGAAGCGGGCATCCTAGTGTAGAAATTCAAAAAAATCGATTTTTTGTATTTCATATTTTCAAAGTTTAAACATATAAGAATATGGGTACGAGAAGGTTTTTGAAAATTTGAATTATTTTCGGAGATATAGGCATTTTACTGATTCGGTCTCCAAACTGGTTTGGCAGGTTCTAATCGGACAAAAGGCATTAGGAAGTCATTAGACTAATTTAAGACAGTTTGTCGTCAGATGAATTATTAATTCGATGTATAGGTTCAGAAACTCAGAACAATAATGAATCTCTAAACTCGTTGATTTTGATTTTCGAGCCGAAACATATTCATTCCCGATCTCGGGTATTTGAAAAGCAACATTTATTGCTGTTTGCATATTAAATTAAGATTTCTTTCCGATTTTAAAAATGATGACCCCTATGGTAATGCAAATTGGGCCAGAAACTCACTCATTTGCTGTAATACGAGACAATGCCCGGAATGAACGATCTGAAATACGTACATCCAACCTCCAAAGGAGGCTAGAATTGCCCGATTTGAAGAGAGAAATGCAGAAAATAGTTTTTTTGAAGTAGAAGAAGGTCCGATGCATGAAGCAGGAATGGCAGAATAAAAGAAGTATGACATATCATTTTATGACTTTGACAGAAAAAAACTTCACGCGAAACTTAAAATGCGTTTTTCTCAGAACAGACTTTTTCAGTACTGTTGACACGATTTCTCGAGTTCTACTCGACCGATTCACTTGAAATGTTCAGAGAGTCTTGTTTATGGACCTATCTGTAGCCCGCCAAATTCTAATTTTTACTATATTTAAAAAATTCTAGATACTTAAAAAACAGTAAAGAAAGACTTTTTTCAAACAGTCGCCAATTTGTAAAAAAAAATTTTTACTCATCGCTAGTTCGGGCGATTGCGAAATCATTGTAGATTAGTAATCTTTTTATTTCTTTTATTTCAGATAGCTAGGAGGGCTGAAATCATGTCAAGACTGAGGTGCCAATTTTTGAGATCACCCACGCCAGTTTCTTCAATTTTCAACTTTTTTTTAAATTTTTGTATTTTATTTTAATAATATTAATAAACAGGTGGTAATAAAATTGATAGTAAAAACATTCATTGCTTTCTTTTACGACACTTTAAAAATGACCTAAAATTCATCGCTCTACACTAGAATACCCCCTTAATTGAGACTGAATATTATATAGATAAGTAAATACAATAAGTAAATAGATCATCCTCTTCCCTACCATTTATTCTTCTGGTTCTCCTCGGCAACCGCCATGCGATGCCTTGTCGCCTCGTAGACGTCTTCGTTGGCGTGGATGCGCATTTTGCGAGCGAGCGCCCCCAGGGAATCGAGCCTGTCCGCGCGCCTTTGCACGCACTCGAAACTTCCCTGGGGGCCCTCGATGTCCGCATTTGAAGACAACGTGAAGGAAAACGTGACTTGCTGCTGCTGCTGCTGCCCGTTGCCGTTGGCGCCGGTAGAAGGCGAAGAACCGGCGCCCCTGAATGACTGTGGTGCTGATGGAATGGATAAATGCTGAAAGAAGATAAAAGAAATATATTAGTTGATTGAATTATTTTTGATATTGGAGAATTGAAATTTATTAAATTATGTAATCAGATTGCAACTATCTGGAGACTTTTTGAAATGTGGTGCTGGACATGAATGGAGAAGATGAAGTGGACAGATAAGATGACCAAATGAAGAAAGAATCCTACTGAGCAGTGATTCGGACCCATTCTGCAAATAGAGTGCCTTCTACACAAAGTCGCCGAAGGTAAAATACAAGGACAAAAGGATTGGGAAAAAGAAGAATGTAGATGATTGTTGACTTACGCAAGAAGAGGTAGACTTAGGACCAGGAAGCTTGGAAGCAGAAGTTTGGAAAAAAATGCATGAAGGTGAATGTATGTAAGTAATAAAATGGCAATGAAATTAATGAACAAGAGAAGAAAAGGTTTTTGTTCGCGCCAAAATAGACGTGACAACGTCGCATTAATTTTAGCAGCGAAAGAATTGCATCTTACAGCGATGCATGGACATTTGCGACTCAAGATCGGCAATAAAATGACCCTCTAGGTACCTGAAGGCACACAGGCATAGTCTAGACCAGGTCGCGAAACTATCAACATCAAAAACTCAAATATCATCAAATACTCAAATACTATACAAATACCATAAAACCAATGTCAATTTTACTGTCTAAAATAAATTAGTGTAAATCTTCTTGTTATTAATCAATCTTTACAATTTAAAACGGTTGATAAAGCCACAAATTCTATCTGGTCCTTCAGCTTTACATTTCAACAAAAAACAGTAATCATTAACTTGTAGTGCTCTCACAATATGGATCTGCCTTCTATTTAATATTAGAATCCAAACTTAAATACTTTAGATCAATCAATCTGATTATAATCATCATTGATGATTTGATTGATGATTCATCAAGTAATATTACCTTTGCAAAAAATTGAAAGCCCAATAAAATCAAGACACAAAATGAGAATCTTAAGTGAATGTAGATCAAAACTTAATACTCTATAAAATATTTGGTAACACGATACGTAGATGCCAGCGAAAGCCATAGAACAAAGATGACATAACGTTGTAATCGAAGTAAGGTACATTTTGGTGATTCAATACTCATTTCTAACATAAAAAACATCTTACAGCAACTAAAAGAGATGGATGTCACGTAAAATATTGTACAGATCAAATTTCATTGTAAGTCAATAATAAGTCCAATGGAAACTGATACTGTGAGGGTAAAAGTCGGGGATAACGATGAAATTTGAACTAGGAAAATTTAATTGATTATTAGAAAATCAGAGATAATTGATGTTTCAATTCTACCATCGAATTTTCTAATGATGAATTTGTATATGCAGTCACTTTAGAATATTGGATCACCTTCTTAATTTAGAGTCAATAAACTGTAAACTTAAAAATAAATGTGAAGATTCTTTTGATAAAACTATCAAGTAGGGCTCCCTCACATATGAAATTCAACACTAATTCTTATATTACTTTATAAATATTCAAACAGTATTTATCTCTATAATGTATGTCCATTTTTAGTTCCGTGTAATAGTGATCAATCATTCTGTAGGGCAAGTCAAGTTGTTTGTATTTTAACATCGAATACGAGAAGATGATAGTAATCTGTCTACTGCAAATGTTAAAGATTGAATGAAGTCCATACACTCTGTTTTATAATGTGAATTGTGTACTCTCTCAAATATTTGCACGGATATCTTGCTTATACTATCAAGTAACAGTAATGAACGATATATGAAAAATAAATGACGGACGTCCCATGTTTGTACATATTTGATTTGAAAAGCATGCGGGAGTTTTGCAGAAAATGAAATGTGACATTAAATAATTATCAAATTACATGTAATCATTTAATAAACCACGTGAGATGTTTTTTCACTTGAATGCTTCGTTTTATAATCGCGTGCGTTTGATAGAAATAAATTAATGATTGACAGATTGAAGTGAGAAGTCTTATCTTCGTGTCAGTATCTTTATCGAATAAAATGTTTCTAGGTGATATTATAAAATGTGTCTTTGAACTTGCGCTACTTATGGAGATAAATATGCTATTTAACCAGTTAACTGTGATTGACCAAAATACTCGTCATAAAGAAGTAGCAGAATTTTGGTGTATTGCAAAATAGACCCATGTTTTTCATCCGATATCTCACCAACGCAACTTACTTCGTAGTTGACGAATATACACGCCATAAGCTTTATTTGGACGACACAGAACTGGTTAAAAAACGTAGTATTAACGTAATAATTGGATTATAAATTTCAATTGAATTTTGTAAATATATGTTTTCAATTCTTTAATCCCAAGTCAATCAACATATAAAATTAAGACTTCAGCAAGTACAAGTACAAGTACATACGATTAAAACTGATTTGCAATTTACATATATTACTATAAATTCTGAGCAAGACAGACTAATAACCAAAGAGATTCTATGCAGATTTAAATATTATCAACCTACAACGTTTTTAAATATATGGTTTATGAAAGTACTAATTAAATAATTATTGCTAAATAATTGGAATACTATTATTACCTGCATATTGTTTGTTCACGTTATATTCACAATAAATAGTACGTGAGACCAATATGCACTTATCACAAACTCTTTAAGATGAAATCCTAATTGGAATAACGGTCTCATCAATCATGAAAACAATTATTTTTCATTATGTGTTTTTACTGTGAAAACACGATATATAAGTGTAACATTTTATATATTTTGATTTCTATATTGTATAGAACCGTTTATGCGTCATGTAGCAATTTCTTTCAGATGAAAATGTGATTCTTCGGCACTTCTCGATACTCAATGCTTTTCCTGCATATTATATGGTTACATTTGGAAATATAAGCACGTGCCCGTCGATAAGTATATACAAGAAAAACTTTTCCTTTTGCCTTTAAGATGGAAAATATACACGGCACGTATGTAAATTTCCCGCGCCGAGAAAAAATATGAAAACATCGGGAGTTATTTATATTTTATTTGGGTTGTGCTATACAGAAATTGAATATATACAATTAATGTTATCACAATATTGAATTAAAATTCTTATTGCACGCATATAGTGGAAACAAAAGAAGCAAAACATATATTGGAATAAAAAGACTACTTATGTAAGATCAACGACCTGATCGCCCACGTAAAACGATTCCCTATTTTCCGCGAAACTCTATTCTTCGTACATTGACACCCTTAATTTGATATTATATAGTATACTATTGAATAAACAGCATTGATTTATAAATATATCTATGTATATAAATAATAGTTTACTTTGCAAACACTGGATAATCATAATTTTTCAATTTTGTAAATTAAACCCATATTTTTCATCCGATATCTTACTTTGTGATAGACGAATATACGTGTCATCTGTTCGGACGCATTTTCGTTTTATTATATTGGCCATGAAGGTGACAATCTTCATGGCATTGAGCTTTTACACGGGATGGTTGCTACCCCTGGTAGACGGGGTAGCGTAGAGTTTTTGAACTAATTGTTCACTTCTAAAAAAAGTTCGCGAAATAACATGTTTAATAAATAACCAATAAATATATCTTCTTTCATTATAACTTATATTAGTGACAATCAGTGATTGTGATAAGAACTGCAACAAATACATACAAATTCAAAACAAATCGGTGTTTAATACAGTCCATAGCTACATGGGTTAAATTATAACCCAAAAACCTGAGTTATCGAAGGAAAGTTTTAATAAATTCTATAACTACGTAACGGACATACATTAACACTTTCTGATAGATAAATATACTCGCCAGTTTTGTGTCGATTCGGACGATCGGTTAATATTTTGTTATATATTGAAATAGTTTTTTGAAAAAAAAATTAAGATCTACGATGAGCAATAAGAACCAGCAAATGCATTTATATTTGTTGGCATTTTGTAACAATTGTCGTCCGTACATTTTCATTCGCATAACTTTGTTCAATATTTGCATATGTTAGATGCAAACCAATGGTATCTATCTAAAGTTACACAGCTCAGCAGTATTTTGAAAACCCATTTTGCATTAATGCTTGATTGACGCAATCTAGCAACCATGTGAGAAGCGAGATATTCTATGAAGATGCGCCGCCGGTTTACGGAAAAGCTTCTATACATACTACTGTGCAAACG